TCATTTCTATGACACCGTGTTTGAGCGGCGTATAACTACTACTTATACTCCGCCGGCGTATAAATACGACATTTATACTCCGCCGGAGTATAAATATGTGAAAATCATAGTGGTTGTCAACCATAGTAACCATGGTAAGTGAAATCAAGGCAATTCCTTAATGAAGCAAGAAGATAAGAAATAATCATTTCAAAAGAAGATTAATCGTTTGAAAATAAAATATTGTATTTCATTCGGAGTTTAAGTGACTTCATGTGACTCGTATGGACTTAATTCGCCTCGCTATCGCTCGGCGTTTAATCGTCCATACTCGCCACATAAAGTATCACTTAAACTCCTAATAAAATAAATATCTATTATTTAATACTTTATTTTCAAGTTTTTCTGCATAAAATAATAAGAAATACATTACTTAAAAGTTTAATTTCTCATCTACTTCCCGCTGCCATGGGACAAAACCTTCACAACTGAAGTATTGGGTAAAAGCTTTTCGAAGTTTAATTCCGTCATCTGAAGATCTATTAACGCTGCAATTCTTCAAATTCGTTATAAAAATTTCTTCTTTCCAACTTTCTGGCGTATACATGACACCATCACTAAATATTTTCACAATCGATTCTATTTGTATATTTTTTTCCAACCCAGCCCGTTAGCGTAATATCTTGCTTTTGTTTACTAGCACAGTAATGTCTCTTTGAAGGACTTGAAACCTGCTTGTCAAAATTCCAAAAGCATTCTCAACTACGCGGCGTGCACGACTGACGGTAATTAAATATTTTTTGTTCTATGGTTTTATCATTCGATTGGTCAGTCGAAAAGCTTCATCGGTAACAATAACAAATGGTACCTATGTTGGAAAGTTTAACAAATCTTGTTCTGTTGCCGTGTACAGCGTCAAATTTCTATAAACGCCATCATTACTAACTCTTCCATTGCATTCAACATCCACGTATAGGAAATTATATTCTGCATCAACTAAAGCCATCAGTACAATGCTGTGAAAACCTTTGTAATTGTAATAAAAAGATCCATCTTCTTTTCGTGCTCTAAAGGCAACTTACTTATTTTACATGTACCTAAGGCCCCAAGACAATTTGAAAAGTTCCATAGGTAAGCTATAAAATTGATCAGCTTTCTTCCATTCCAATTATTTGAAAAATCTATCTCCTGAATTCAGGCAAAATAACTCACTGATAAGTACCTACTTATTCATCTTTTAATACTTTCAGGAATTATCTGGGATATGCTTGGAAGAGATATTTTAAAACTATAATGTAGACTTTTGTCTGTCTCCAGCAGCAAGAAATCGCAAAGTGAGTAACACAACCTGCAAGTGTGATAATGCAGATATACCTATGTATAACTTTATAAATTATATTTTCAAAAGTTATAAGGGCATAATGAACGAGTGCTTACCTGGTTCTTGCTGAAATACTTTCCCGCAGAATTACTTATTTCTTAATCATTGGTCCTACTTTGAACAACATACAGCTGGTCTCACAAAAAACTGTAAAAATGACAGTGACCTGAATGTCATATTCCCATTGCTTTTCATTGATCTATGAGAACCTGATTTGCTCATCTTTTCCCGTTTTTTGTGAAACCAGCTGTATATTCAAACGTTGAAGACGTCATTCGTGTGAAGTTTTTGAAAATAGTTGGATTCTCATACTTTAGTTCATTAAAAACCATATTAGACATCCCACGTCCCATGTTTCTCCTCTCTAACCACTTTCTGCTCCATTGTGTTCTTTTTTTTTTGTTGTAAATGCTGCGTCTTTTTGTTTTTTGTTTATTATTACTCTATTTGCTATAATTATTACGGCACAAGCTGCAGCAGCAAGTTGGCAATTAATTAGTTGCTGCCCGTTCATTATTTATTAATTTTATAATAATAACCAATTACACAGACCCACAGATGCATTAATAATAACAAAGCTGATCAGAAAACCTTTGAAAGTTGACTTTGACATTTCAGTCGCATGCGAATCATAAGTAAATATTTTCAACTCAGATAGTGTTAATCTGTTTGATTTTCCCTAGACCTATGATTTTCGGTATGATTTTGTCGTAACAAAAATCATACAGAAATCACAGTGTAAACCCACTTTAAGAAAGCCGGTTAAATTTAAACAAGAAATTCTATACAATGTCATTAGTTATTCTTATATTCCTGTCGGTGTCACAAGACTCACCCGCCATTTGCACTATCGCAATATTTTCAAATCAGCTTAAAAGACGAATAATGAAAATAAAGTACTTAAATTGTAAGCACACAATTTTAATACATTACCTTGAAAGTGCGCATGCGATAAATACTTCTTCACATTCAAAACGAGAACTAAAATTGGCCTAATCATCCCCACCAACAATTTATTATTATTAAGACCCACCACTGACCCGGAAATGACCGGCATTCAGGCAAGACTTCTATCATTACGGGTACTAAGACCAAGTAATGATATGAATTGATTAGATTAACAGAACAACTTTCGAGATTCTAGAATTACAGCATACAAATTAGTCTGCTATTATTCTCTAATCTCACCCCATCCCCAAAAGTCCAGCGTAACTACCGACCATTTATCCGCGCATCACATGAAAAGTGACCTACACTACTCTGACCTACTGGTGCTAATCTAATCTGACTGACATGATCAGACTGTTCAAGAAACTTACGAACAATATGACATGTTCCTAACAAAACAGCTTTTTGAATTTTGACAATTATTGAATCATTCAAATGCAAAGACTTTAAATTCTCAACTAAGCTATTTGGAACTACACCTACATTAGAGATAACTAGGGGTAGAATTGAAATTTTTTTAAGATTCAACATGGATTTCATTTCTATCGATAATTGTAGATATTTTGAAATCTTGGTGTCGTATGTTTGAATAATGTTGTTTGTGTTAGGAATAGCAATGTCAATAAGAATGGCTTCGTTCGTGTGTTTTTTGATAAGTATGATGTCTGGTCTGTTAGCTGTAATGTTTAAGTCTGTAAGTATTGTGCGATCCCAGTATAATTTGTATTTGTTATTTTCAAGGAATGGAGACGGAATATAAGTGTAATATGGTGTCGTATCTTCGATTAAGTTCATAAGTGTTGCTAATTCTTTGTGAATGATTTTGGCTGCGTTGTCGTGTCTAGCTTTGTAATCAGTTTGTGCTAGGATGCTGCAAGAAGAGATTATGTGCTGGATCGTTTCAGGTTTTGCTTTGCATAGGCGACAGCAGTCGTTTTTTATGTTCGGATCTTTGATGATGTATTTTCTATAATTCTTGGTATTGATTACTTGGTCTTGAATAGCAAACACAAATCCTTCTGTTTCGGCATACAAACTTGATTTTTTTAACCAAATCAATGACATCTTGTCTTTGTAGAATTTTATTATTATTATTATTATTATTATTATTATTATTATTATTATTGACTTAAGCGACACACTTTCACAGCCGAAGCTGGAAACAAATTTGACCGGCTCCTCGCGCGCGACATTGGAGCTCGGCTCTGTGAATAACCAGGAATTTACGTCCAAACACTTTGAATGAAGTTGGTCAACAGACTTGAAGCCCAATTACAGATCAACTAGTACAGATTGAAAAAAAAAATAGTTACCTAAATTACAGGCGGCCACAATTACCACTGCTTCTCATAGAAGATAGGTTTGTTTAACACAATCTGAAGGAATCGTTATGCTCGTTATAGTTAGCGCACATCCGGTATAACGGTGAGTATTTCTGGATGTCAATACGTGGCGTTGGAAGATAGAAAAATTGATAATTCTCAGGACGAAAGGATGGTCTTGGTATGCTGATGTAAAGTTGGCTAAGAAGTTGAGGACAGTCAATTTGATGATTAAAAATTTTCTTTAAGAAACACAAAGACGCGTTAGTGCGTCTTCTATCCAGATCGATGAGGCCGAATCTTTCAAGAAGAACATTTTGCGGAATTCCTCTGGGTGGGTAAACGCCATCTAATTTGAAGGATACAAATGTCAAGAATCTTCTTTGAATTTTTTCAAGTGCCTGGATATGAATTTGAGTTACGGGGGCCCAAACCACACTAGCATATTCCAATGTAGATCTGACGAAGGCAACATAAAGTCTTTTTAAAGTAGTGGCTACCATTACTGAAACAACCACTAGATCTTATAATGAACCCCAGACATTTAACGGCTTCAGACACTATAAAGGAAACGTGTGGGGCAAATGAAAGTGAAGAGTCAAACGTGACACCAAGGTCTTTAAATGAATCAACTCAAGACAAAGTAGAAGAAAACATCGAGTATAAATACAAAACTTTAGAAGTTTTATTGGTCAAGGACATAACGTAACATTTTCTAGCGTTTACGGGAAGGAGAATATATATACCCCAATTTTGAAATTTGTCGATATCATCTTGAAGTTCCAGGCAGTCTTCGAAGTTATTAATGCGTCGGAAAATCTTTAAATCATCTGCATACATCAACACGTTTGAACTCCTGTTTTTTGGTAATATCATTAATAAAGTTTGCAAAAAGTAATGGTCCGAGAATAGAACCTTGCGGAACGCCAGAAGTAACAATAATTCGATCGGATTCAAAACCATGAAATGTCACACGCTGAGATCTACCGGACAAACACGACCTAAAAAGCTTAATTAAATTTGCAGAAAAACCGATGCTACACAGAAAAAAGTTTACTTGTAAATTTACTGTGAAAATCACAGGTAATTTGTAACCCGAGATAATAAGGGTAATATTCCAACGAAATGTATTGTTAAGTTTGAATGTGATATTTACTTTTTGAATGTAAATCGAAATTACAAAAGAACATGTAAAATTACAAGTAAAATGTAATTTTGACGATTGTAAATTTACAATAAAATATGTAAATTTCCGTGAATGTGTATGTAAATTTCCGTGAATTGGTATGTAAATTTCCGTGAATTGATATGTAAATTTACACAAATTATTGTTATTTTTAGTACTAGTTTTAATCAAAGAAACCATGTCGGACAAAGTGAACCTTTTATTTTATGGTGAAAAACATAATAAACATGTAATAAAATCATAAACACAAAACAAAGTCATTGATGTTGTATATACTTTACATTAATTTAATTTGTTCATAAGGCCAATTACTTTGCGTTTTGTTGGTGTTATTCTTTTTGATTTGGATCCTTGATCTGGATGTATTTTCAAAAAAAATCTTTGCATCATTTCCAAAACTGCTGATACTTCGTCTGGATATTCTAAATTCATTATAAAATATAATCCAAACGCCCAAGATACTGCATCTTTTAAAGTGACAACACTTGGAATCACTACTTGTCGTTCTAAAACTACGTGATAAATTGTTTGTGGATCGCTCTCTAGAAAAATACAAAAATACATTAAAATGTTATAGGTACAAAGACGTTTTAAATACTTGCCTATTTCAATTGCACATGGCGCAGCCACCTTGATAATTTAATTTAAATTATTCATATCATCACCCTGTGATAAAAATTGCATTAACATAACAATTAAAGATGACATGGGCAAATTATAGTAAGTAATTATCCGCCTGGAAAGTATACTTTTGTAACTGGAGGAAAATAGTAAACCAGAATAGTAAAATACTTACCTTTAACAACAAAACACACAATTTTGTACAAAATATATTACCACAACTAATGCACTCCAACTTGTTATAACCTGCAAGCGTTATAGCAATGATTGCGTGCGCATCAACAATTCACAGTATGCATGTGATTTCACTGGTAGACTGGATTATTTTTCAAAGTTGGAAGTAATTGTAAAAAATGTTAGTATATTTACGGTATTATAACGTATAATTCATTTATAAAGTGAATATACATTTACAATTGCGATTCTGTAGTGTTTTTTCAATTTGACTTGTGAAAATACAAATAGTGACACAAGTTTATTTATTTTATGCACAATGCTGCTAACTTACGTAAATTTACTAAATTTAAGTAAAAAAATACATAAAAAGCAACAGTAAAATAATTGTAAATTTACACGACTTTTTTCTGTGTACTTAATTTGAACAGTAAAATATTATGATTAAGCTGGTCGAAGGCCTTAGAAAAGTCGGTGTACACCACATCCACCTGTCGTTTAGCAACAAAGCTATCAGATACCAATTGCGTAAAACAGCACAAGTTGGTGACTGTAGAGCGGCCATTAATAAAACCATGTTGCGTATGCGATAAACGATTGCGTACTTGAAATTGTATGAATTTATGAAGAATAGACTCGAAGACTTTGGAAAAATTACAGAGTAAAGAGATAGGACGATAATTTATAATCAATTGACTATTGCCTTTTTAAAAATGGGTGTAATTAAAGAGAGTTTCCAGAAATTAGGAAAGGAGGAAGATTTGAGTATTAAATTAAATGGAATGGTCAAGGGCCGAGAAAATGCAGTAGCACAGTCTGATAGAAGAAAACCCGGAATGTCGTCATGACCGCACGTAGAATTAGACTTAATGTTTTTCAATGCTTCTAATACATCGGATTCATCAATGGCAGAGACAAAAACGGGAACATTGCTGAGATCTTCGTCAAGACTATTAAAATCAACATGTGCGAGATTAGAATAACTGTCACTAAAGTGTTCGGCGAAGGCGTTTACAATGTCTTGAGGATTCAACAGAGATGTGTTTAGATAGCTCATTTGAGAAGGAATGCCCGAACGTTTTTTAATATTATTGACATGAGCCCAAAACTTGCGAGGATCCGAGTTAACATTAATTTCCAAATTGTGAATATAATTGGCGTACGATAGTTTAATGTCACGCTTTAATTCAGCTCGAATTGTTTTAAAATTAATCAGATCCAAGTCACTATGGGATCTTTTGTAGATGCACCAGAGCTTCCATTTGATTTTAACTTTTTTTATGTTATCAGAAGAGAACCAGAGAGGGTAAGAGTAATTGTGTAGTCGGCAAGTTTTGGGAACATAAAGATCAAGCACAGAGTTAAGTTTATCATAAAAAAGACGACAAAGAGTATTAACGTCCGTGACGGAATCCATGAAAGACCAATCAATTTGCTCAAGGTGACGATATACCTAAGTTTGGATAATCAGCCTTACGAAAGTTCCACTTTTTCGCAAGAGAGACAGGATTACCTAACAGTTGTGTATTGGGCAAACGAAACTGACACGTAATAAGCAGCGAAGGGTGATGTGCATCTTCCGATAAAAGATGATCTACACAGCGATCGATAACACACAGAAGGTTTGTAATGACCAGATCCAAGAACCTACCATGTCTATTGGCGATATTAGAATGTTGTTTATAATCGCACAAATTCAGAAAGTTAGAAAGTGATGACAGTCTGTTGTTACCTATTGCAGTTGAGTATTAATTATTTTGTAAAGCGACCTTCAATGGTGAAATCAGACTAGGCCATGTTAGGGTAGAATGTAAGAGCTATAAGTTAAGTTGGTACTGTCAGAACTGGCAAGAAGAGAAGGGGAAAAGAAGGGCTTGTGTCAAACGCCGTATTGTGCGACGTCCTTTTTTTTTCATCTCGACCGTCGAGCAGACAAAATGTTCGGTCTGATAGTGTTTATTAAATAACAAAAGGTATGCACAACTTATGTATTGTATTAATGTATGTTAAATGAAACCGAATGTATTCTTTTTGTAACGCCTATTTTAATTTTACAGGCGCTTTTTGTTATCCAAATAAATTCATTTCTTATCCAAAGTTAATAAATTAATAACAGGTTATGGGCCCAGTAGCTTGCTCTGTGTCTGATTTAACTTTGGTCTGTAATAAGAAATGAATGGATAAACCGTCTGAAAAGAAAGCAAGCATGTCGGATTGAGGAAGCACGTGGCAGCTGTAATGATATAAGAAAGTGAGGTTAGCGCATCGCGGATCACTGCACGCCAGCATCCCAGCCAATGAGCAATCAGCATTCGTCTGTGGAAAACTACAACAGTAGCGTCGGTTTACAACAAATTTCGTATGTAATTAGTAAGAAATTTTTTTTTATTCTTATGTCTGTTCGTCAGTGTAACAAATTCTTTGTCTGATAAATATTACCAAGTCTGATGTAATGCAGGAGAATTTATGTTTTTATGTCTGTTGGTCTGTTAGTTTGTGAAACATAATCTCTGTCAGTTATTTCACAATAATTTTGTACATGTGTGTCGTCGCAAGTCAGCTAAATATTTTGCAAGTGAATTTAATCCTTGTGTATGTCAGATAAATACTTCGTCAGTGAGGTTAACTTTTGTTTATCAACTTTAAATATTGTACAAGTTAGTTTAGTACTGGTAAATTAAAAAAAAAATGGATACGGTCAGAACACAGTTGGAAACTCTGTCAGAAAATGCGCAAGGTAAAGTTAATTACACTTCCTGGAGATTCAAGTTAGATTTAACTCTGAAATCCAAAGACTTGTATGCGGTAGCAATCGGAACTGATACCAAGCCTTCAGGCGCCGACACTGATGCCGCAGTCAAACTTTGGACTAAAAAAGATCTTGAATGTCAAGTTTTAGTTGGTTTAAATGTAAGTAGTGAAATCTCCAAGAAAATTGTTAATTGCAAATCAGCGTACAAAATGTTAGAAAAATTAGAAATGTTGTACGGCAAGAAGTCTGATTTAACTATAGAAGGTCTGCAAAGACGATTTTTCAGTTACAAGTATGACAATGGTAAGTCAGCTGTCGAGAACTGTTTAGCAATAATGCAGTTGGCTGAAGAATTGAGTGCTGAAGGTGAAGAGGTTAAAGAAAATTGGGTTCAGACAAGAATCTTGGGAATGTTGCCACCAAAACTGTGTCATTTTCGCACTGCGTGGGACAATGTCAGTTCATGTGACAAGAATTTAACTACCTTAATTGACAGTCTGAGACTAGAAGAAGACAGGCTACATGAAACAGATAAATCGAAAGGCCACAATGCCTTTTTCACCAAACAGTCAGGGAATAAAAATGGTAAGCCAAAACAGCAGGAAAATTCGTCGAATCTGTGTTTTAAATGTGGACAACCTGGACACTTCAAGAAAGATTGTAAGAACAAACCCTGTGCCAAATACATCGAATATTGCAAAAATAATTATTCGTGTAACATATGTCATGAGAAGGGACATTTTGCAAAAGAATGTTCAAAAAGACCGAATGATAAAAACTCAAACGATAAGTCGGACAAAAATAATTCTGATAAGTCAAAACGACGGGCATTTATTACTATTGGTCTGACGACTGCAGAAATCAACAATAGAAATGCTAAAAATGAAAGCTGCAATTCGTGGTACCAAGACTGTGGAGCCACGCAACATATGACCTTTCGAAAGGACTGGCTAATCAATTTCACTGAATTTGAAGAACCAACAAAGATACTTATCGGAAATTCCACGCAAATTGAAGGTATAGGTGCCGGAGATGTCGAAATGGAAGCATTCAATGGAACTGAATGGTATCCAGTGGTGCTGACTGACGTACTGTTTGTTCCGAACTTAAGTTTCAATTTATTTTCAGTTGCTCAAATGTTAGATAAAGGTTTTATACAATGCGCAAATGCCGAACAATCTGTTTACAAATTAGCAGACGGAAATGAGACAGTAGCAATAGCTGAACGCGAGGACAAACTATACACAATGCTATTTCGAAATGAAAAAGTCAACAAATGTCTGATGACAACTTCAATCAAAGCATGGCATGAAAAATTGGCCCACCAAAATATCAAGTATGTTCGTGACATATTGAAGAAGAGCGGTGTTAAGTATATCGATGACTGGAATGATTACGTCTGTCCTGGCTGTGTCTATGGAAAACAACATCGCGTCTCACATCCGAGGAACGAGAAGGTATCGACGAGTACACTAGAACTAATTCATGTAGATCTCTGTGAGATGAATATTCCATCCTTGGGAGGAGCCAAGTACTTTCTGTTATTGAAAGATGACTTTTCGCATTTTAGAACAGTTTACTTTTTAAAACACAAAGATGAAGCAGCGAGTAAGTTGGATATCTTTATGAAAATGGTTGAAAATCAATTTGGAAGGAAAGTCAAATGCCTCAGGTCGGACAATGGAAAAGAAGTCATCAACTCAAATGTGAAAAATCTTCTGGAAGAACTTGGAGTTTTTCACAGCAAGTCGAATGCGTATACACCCCAACAGAATGGACGGATTGAAAGAGAAATGCGCACAGTAGTTGAAGCTGCAAGGTCAGTCATTCATGCCAAAGATCTTGACGAAAATCTATGGGCTGAAGCAATAAACTATATGTATTTACGATTAATCAAACCGGAACTAGCTCAGTGAAAGGAATGAGTCCTGCTGACTTATGGTTTGGACGACAAGTAAAATTACAGAGTCTGAAATGTTTTGGTTGCGAATGTTATGTATACATTCAAGATCACAAACGAGGTAAAACTGAGAAGAAATCTCGGAAAGGAATTCTTGTGGGGTATGATTTGGACTCACCAAGTTACAGAATTTATTTGAAGGAGGAGGACGATATAGTCAGCTCTGAAAATGTTGTATTTGATGAGAACCCTGAAAATCAAAGGAGTTCCATCGAATTTCAAATG